CCAGCTACTTGGGAGGCGGAGGCAGGAGACTCGCTGGAGCCCAGGAGTTGGAGGTTGCTGTGAGCTGTAATGCCATGGCACTCTACCCAGGGGGATTGCTTGAGGCTCTGTCTCAAAAAAAAAAAAAAAAGAAAAAAAGCAAACAGAAAACAGAAACCTGCAATAGACATAAGTACCTTAAAGTAACAATGCATGAGGTTGGAGGAAAAATTTTTTTTAAAATTTAAAATTTTTTTAAAAATTTAAAAAATCAACTTCTAAAAATAAAAATAATGTGGCAGAACCTAAACTATGAGGCTGGGAAAAAAAAAAAAAAGCAATAGCTAACCTAACAGACATAAAATCTCGTATGAAAAAGAACTATGAGGGGCCAGGCAAGGTGGCACATCTGTAACCTAGCAGTCTAGAAGGCCCAGGCGGTGGATAGCTTGAGCTCAGGACTTCAATTAAAACTGAGCCTGAGGCTCGGTGCCTGTGGCTCAAGCGGCTAAGGCACCAGCCACATACACCTAAGGTGGCGGGCTCGAATCCCCAGCCTGGGCCCGCCAAACAACAATGATGGCTGCAACCAAAAAAATGGCCAGGCGTTGTGCGGGTGCCTATAGTCCCAGCTATTTGGGGAGGCTGAGGCAGGAGACTCTCTTGAGCCCAGGAGTTGGAGATTGCTGTGAGCGTGATGCCATGGCACTCTACCCAGGGGGATAGCTTGAGGCTCCGTCTCAAAAACAAACAAACAAACAAAAAAAAACAAAAAAACCCTGAGCCTGAGAAAAAGTGAGGCCTCTGTCTCTACTAAGATTAGAAAAAATTAGTAGGGTGTTGTGGAGGGCGCCTGTAGTTTCAGCTGCTGGGGTGGCTGAGGCAAAAGGATCATTTAAGCCCAAAAGTTTGAGGTTGCTGTGAGCTATGATGATAATGCCAGGGTACTTTACTCAGGGTGACAGAGTAAAAAAAAAGAGGCTGGGTACAGTGGCTCATAAAACTAGCCAGGAGTGGTGATGCATGCCTGCAGTCCCAGCTACTTGGGGTGCTGAGGCAGAAGATCACTTGAGCCCATGAGTTTGTTTTTTTTTTTTTAATGAGACAGAGTCTTAAGCCGTTGCCCTGGGTAGAGTGCCGTGGCATCACAGCTCACAGCAACCTCCAACTCTTGGGCTTAATCGATTCTCTTGCCTCAGTCTCCCAAGTGGCTGGGACCACAGGCACCCGCCACAACATCTGGCTATAAGCCCACAAGTTTGAGGATGCAGTGAGCTATGATGACACCACCTCTAACTTTGGCAAAACAGCAAGACCTTGTCTCAAAACAAACAACTAACCAAAAAAAATACAAAAACCTTTACAGTTTCCCTAAACTTAATTCTAAACTGGAAATCCAACCAGAAAGTTTTGTTAAACTGAGTTTTTAAAAATTTATTTTGAGAAGAGTCTCACTATGTCACCCTTGGTAGAGTGCTCTGACGTCACAGCTCACAGCAACCTCAAACTCTTGGGCTTAAGGGATTCTCTTGCCTCAGCCTCCCAAGTAGCTGGGACTACAGCGCCCACCACAATGCCCGGCCATTTTTTGGTTGCAGTTGTCATTGTTGTTTGGCAGGCCTGGACTGGATTCAAACCAGGCAGCTTCGGTGTATGTCGCTGGCACCCTAGGCACTGAGCTACAGGCCCTGAGCCTAAACTGAATTTTTATAAGCTACTTCATATTTTAGCCAACATTTGATCATCAAAAGATCATCTTCCAATACCATGGGTTTTTTTTTTTTGGAGCCACACTCTCACTTTCTAATTCACGCGGAGTCTATCGTGTCATCGTAGCTCAATGTAACTTCAAACTCCTCAGCTCAAGCAGTCTTCCTGCTTCAGGTTCCCATGTAGCAGGGACTATGGTCTCATGCCACCATAACTGGCTTATTTTTTCTACTTTTGGTAAACACAGTCTTATTCTTGCTTAGACTGGACTCAAAAGCCTTATCTCAAGCAATCCTTGGGCTTTGGCCTCCCAGAGTGCTAGAATTACAGCTGTAATTACAGCCATGAGCCACCACCCCTTGGCCACTGGCTTAATTCTTAAAATCTCATGAGACATAGTGAACAGGCAAAAATCTGAGCTGAATATTCAGCTAAATGTACATAATTTGTTTCATTAAGTCACACTTTCTGTAAAAACATGAACCTATTTCCATGATATAAAATGTCTATATTCCTTTTTTTCCTTTTAAATTGGTCCTTACCTACTTTATGACCCTTGCTGCCCAGTTTATAATCTCTGCTGTAGTTACAGAAAGCTGCTTGGGGACCACCCTATGGTAGCAGGCACTGCAATCACCTGGGAAATCTCACAATGTTTATCTTCACACATCTAAGTACTTCTATTTTAGCATAACGCTGATGTACATTCACTCTATTAGGCTGCAAGTCTTAGAACCAAGAAATCAAACTACATTTCCTTGGAATTTCCCAGTTGTCCAGGAATGAATGAAGTGAATAAATGTGAATCATCTTTTTAATTAGCAACAACAAAAGAAACCCTACAAGATACTTTAGCCATCTGACCTGTATGTATTTAACCAATAAATAAGTGTGTATCTGCATGTCACTGTTCTGATTCAATCCCCATCCGTTGCTATCCCCTCCTATCAGACTTTTTCTTCATAGCTCTTATTATAACCTGATAATTTATACGTTTATCTCTTTCCCGCAATTATAAAGAACTGTTTGATTCACTGTTGATGCCCCTGTTCAAACACATATTAAAAAATAAGCAAATCTGCTTCAGTTAAAAATAACTTATTTAAATAAGCCAATCCATTTCTTTTTTGACAATCAACAAGTAATCATACCATCATGTAAAAACACTGAGAATAAATATAAGACTTAATGTAACAGATACTGTGGTTAAGAGTTCTACAAGTGACAGTATGAAAACAGCTAAATTTTACCCCTAAGTCTAAGTAGTCTACCTGTTATCCAGTTAATGGGCACCCTACATAATCAACATGTTGAATTTTGGTTATAAAACCTAAGTACCATGGATGCTATTCAATGTAGATTAAATTCCAGTTTATAAACTTTATTACAGTTGACCCCTGAACAACACAGTTTGAACTGGTGGGTCCACTTACAGAATTTTTGTTTGTTTGAGACAGAGTCTCACTTTATCGCCCTCGGTCGAGTGCCATGGTGTCACAGCTCACAGCAACCTCCAACTCCTGGGCTTAGGCGATTCTTTTGCCTCAGCCTCCTGAGTAGCTGGGACTACAGGCACCCGCCGCAATGCCCGGGTATTTTTTGTTTTTGTTGTTGTTGTTGTTGCCGTTTTGCGTGGGCCATGTTCAAACCTGCTACCCTCAGTATATGGGTCTGGCGTCCTACCCACTGAGCCACAGGTGCCACCCATTTACAGATTTTTTTCCAACAAAAGTAAAATCAGTATTTGAGGGATGTGAAACCCACATATACAAACGGCTGACTTTTGGTATATGTGGGCAGGCTCCATACGGCCAACTGCAGAACTTGAATATCCTGGAACCAATCCCTCCATGTCTATCAAGGGACATTTGTATATGCTTCTACAAAATGACACTTTCCCTAATTACTTCTTATCAGACAGGTATTCTTACTCCATTAAAATACAATTAATCACAAGCTTAAATTAGCAACAAATGAAACACTGATGTGTTTACAATAGTCTCAAACTTTGAAAATAAAAACAAGTGGCTCAGGACCCATAGCTCAGGTAGTAGGGCACCAGCCACATACACCAAAGCTGGCAGATTGGAACCCAGCCTGGGCCTGCTAAACAACAATTGACAAATGCAACCAAAAAATAGCCAGGCGTTGTGGTGGACACCTGTAGTCCCAGCTACTTGGGAGGCTGAAATAACAAAATCACTTAAGTCCAAGAGTTTAAGGTTGCTGTGACGCCATGGCACTTTATGGAAGGTGACAAAGTGAAGACTCTGTCTCAAAAAAAAAAAAAAAAAAAATGGGAGAATTTCTGAGTCTCAGATTCCCCATCTCAAAAGATTATCATGACAGCCCCAAATTTTTGTTATTTTTGCTAATCTTTAGCAATGGTGACCAGCACAAAATGGGTACTTAACTATTAGTTTCCTTTACTCCACCAAAAAACAGACTTGCAGAGGTGCAGTGGTCACGCCTATAAAATCCCAGTACTCTGGGAGGCTGATGCAGGAGGATTGTTTTTTTTTTTTTTTTTTTTTTTTTTTT